AGGAGGAGGGAGTTTAAAAACTGGTTGCCCATTATAATTATGCACTGGTTGAGAGAAAGGAGAAGCAGGAGGTGTATCGAAAGGAGGCAAGGCAGCTTGAGGCAAGTGGTAAGGCGATACAGAAACGAACGTTTGAGCAGGCGTAGCTGGAACAATAGGACGATAACCTGATGACGACTGTTTATTTTGCATTATGATAGTCTTCAAAATTTATTTAAAAATGATAAGAGGGGATTAGATTTAATAGTACGAATTTTGAAATTTAATGAAATTTTGATTATTTCAGAAAGAAAAAAAAGCTGAAAGGTCTCGGTATGATGCATTTCACATTATATAATCATCCCCCCTTTGTACTTCTGAGTTCGGCAAACAGCCGAGAAACCCAGGACTGGCACCGACCGAAATGGCAATTGGATGATTTGATGATCTGAAATTCAACCCACATGTTAAGCACTCGGAAAATTATTGGACAATGCATGAATTAATAGATCTTCTGATTTCGGAAAACAAAAACTTTAATTATTTATTTATGGAAATCGTATGGATGGCATGTGAGGCCATAAAGTGCTTTCCATTTGTTAATTTTTCTTGTGTCACCATCACATGACCGTGTCCGCTTATAAACACTTCCGCCAAGTCTTTGTTTGGCAACTAGTACGTACATACGTACGTATTTAAAATTCGATTGGATTATCTTTATCACGGTAACACTCCATCACTGTACGCCGCTGACTATGTATAATACCCCTTGCCGTAAAAAGACCCGATACAATTTGTCGACCTTTTTGAGTTGAAAACCCTAAGTAGGGTGTCCAGGATTATAATGCGAGCATAATTCAACCCATGTCGCATACGTTGCATAAAGCCGCATAATTCAGGTTATTTCACATAATAACCCCGCATAATGTGTGAACCTGTTTATATCAAATATAAGACTTAGTGACTAATCACACTAGATATTAATCATATAATCCAAATTGACAATGAGATTACTCTTTATATTCTATTATAAGTACAGTATTAGCACTAAAAAGTAATCGTTAGCGTTAGGTGCTACGTTAAATTACTTTTTTAGGAAATTTTGTGTCTTATTTTTTATTTTTGGTAAATGATCTTCCTTGAGTTAACTTTTTTTGGGGGACGTCTAAAGCGGAGGCAACTCATATTTAATAATTTTTTCGATTAACTTTAGGGTTAGGGTCTTCTATAT